TAACAGAAAGATGAAATGTCACGAGATTTTGAAAGTAAAATAGATCGATAGCGCGTTTTTAAAAATCAATCTGATATCAGCAGCATATGAAAATATATTTGAGTATATTATTTTTCAAAGTGTCAAAAATGGATAACAAAACTGCTATTTTCAATGACTACTTATTTTTGTCCAGCTTTAACATCGGTATCGATATCGGTTATCGGCTACATGAGTTTTAAAATATCGGCATATCGGATATTGGGCAAAATCCCAATATTGTGCATCCGTATACAGTATATCAAGATACATAAGGATTAAGGTGCAAGTGTACATGTATCACACACAATGAAAAACAAATTAAAAATAGGAAAAACAAAATACAAGGGAGTAACGCAGAGATTTGAGGTGTCATATGATGAAAATAAAAACATTAGCTGCTTATTGTGACTTCTGCACACTAACCAGGTCATTTACCCAATAATCAATCCTACAGTAACTCCAGGAATTAGATGGATTCATGTCACCAGAATTGACACCCAGTTGGAGGACACCGGGCTTCTGCCATGAGCTTTGACAAAGAGCCTGTTTCTTTCATAATCAGAGCCAGGGTGTCTCAGTTTTTTTTTGTCGATGTTCAAGGGCGCAGGTGTATCCGGGGGGGTTACAGGACCACACACCCGGCTAACCGCCCGCCTGGTCAGGGTGACCTAGGAAAGAGGGAGCCGTTTTTCCCTGCCCCTCACTATCATTAGCTCCGCCGCACTCCCATGCCGATGGCGGTGACGGCCTTGGACAAACACCGCCATGTGAATTCACTTAGAGGAGTTTTAGTGCCCTGTGGGTTAGCGTGCCAGTGGGACCCCGAGGGGAAAGACGAAGCGGGTCGGAAACTTTAACTCACGTGTGGTCACTCCGGCTTTGAAGTACCACCGTTCAGTTAGCAGCAGGTCTGGAGCTAAAGGAGACGTAATGGCCAGTAAATTATAGTTCTGCATTTCTGTTAGGGTGGTGGGATGAGCTAATACGAATTAAAATGTATATATAGATATAAAACCTCCAATCTGTATGAGGGGAAAAAAAAAACACAAAATAAGGGCGTTAAAACCAAAAACATGTTTCTTAGTGTAACTCTTCTGCAGTAGCTCCAAACATCACCTTCTAGGAAATGTGTCCTTTTTGCTGTTGCTGAACTGTGAAACCTGGCTGCACATCGTTCATTTGGTGTTGACACCGTCAACAGCTGCATGGGGGACAGAGGCCATGTTGGCTCACTCTGGTCTTTGTTAGATTGCGCAGCTGGGTTTTTGCAATACGTCCCATGCAAACCCGTCGTGTTCAGTCCAGCGTTCTCCTGCGTTAAACATTTAAAGTCTTCCCTAAGGAGCACTTCTGACTCACTTGTGATTTTCCCCCAACTTCATGACTTTTTGCTAAACTTGTTCTGAGGGACTTTTGTGTTGCGTGCTCAGGTATGTAAGTAGACAGCCTGTTTGCCTGAGGCCATGCGGGGAAGCAGGATGTAAATGACTTCAGTGAATTACTCTGTTAAGTAAAAAGGAAGTAGGTGGGGGCACATGCTCGGGCCTGTGTCGGAGGGAGGAGCCAGGGCCTCTAAGACTGTGGGGCTCAGTCGGTCCTCTAGCACTTTATGCTTCCTGCCTGACGCCACATCAGAATAGAGACTTAGAGGGTGGAAGCAGCCACAATCTCAACTGGATTCAAAACTCTGTCGCTCTTGGACTATTTCTTTCGTGTCAGCTTTTGGATTTCTTAAGTTACAATGGGACTATGTTGTTCTGAAAAGCAGAAGAAAAACTTTGAGATGTTCACAAGTTGGACAAAGGTGAGTTTTGTTTTTTTATTTTTGTTTTTTTTCGCTGGCACTTGAGTATTAGAAACAATGAAAAGAAAAAACTTTGAGAAACTTCATTCAAAAACTGAGGATTTGGGTCAAAGTTTTGTAGACATGATGCTGTGGAATAACTAATGCAAATATGTTAAGAGGAAATATTTCAGATGATTTTATTTTGTTGTTCTTTTTGGTTTTTTTTTGCATTTTTGCACTTATGCGGGAACTCCCTGCTAACGTAAAAGGATGCATTTGTGCAATTTATTAGGCAAGACATATCATCATGCAATCCGTGTCCCCTGCTGTGTTGCTCAAACTGAACTACATGACAATGATTTACCGGCATTTGGCCCGGCGTTTATTCCCCCTGCATTTGCCTCAAAGTTGCCCCTTTCCTCCACTTTGAAAAAGTGAAAAGTTGATGACAGTTTTCTACTTTATACCCAATTTTTTCACCACTTTCAGAAAGACGCCTACTGGTTTGTTGATGGAAATGAGCAGGTCCCTGATGATCAAATGGGAAGAAAAAAAAAATTTTGACAGCCCTGATCAAGTTTTTTCTATCAGGAAGATATCAGCTGGTTTCTCGACACCTTTTAGACAGCTTGGAAAACCAGATCTACTGATTTTGTATAAAAAAACCCAGGCGGAAGATTTTTTTTCCCCTCTTAAATCAGGTCAAGGTAGCTTTAATTATTCAGGAAGTCGTTGTGAATGCAGTTATGGGAGATGCACCGATCAGATCAGTTTTTCCTGGCAGATTCCTGCCTTTCTTTGCAGGCTGACCTCCAGTCACAATCTTCAGCTTTTACATTTTTCCCGCCAAGAACTTCAAAATATAATAATGTGCAGAAATATTTGATACATCTTGTCATTTAAAAATGGAGATACAAATTGAACACATATTTCTGCTTAGACGCATCTCCCTAAACTTTGTTTCTTATTATTAAACTTATTAAAGGTTTAATTTTTCCCCATGTTTCATTAAAAAAATAATAATAATAATAATACATTCACTATTATAGGGAAAACCCACCAGGACCATTATCTTTAGTTTTTTTTTCTTAGGGGCTTTTAATGTGGTCCTATTTCCCTTTAAAAACCAGAACTGAAATCGTCCTCATAGAATCTCTTAAATGTCCCATATCTCTCCTGCTCCTCTGCTGCAGATTTTGTGCATTCAGATATGATGTGCTGTATATTTAGAGAGGGGACCACCGTGGGAATGATGGAGGGGGGACCATGTGACTCTGTTGCTATGGCATTCAGGCATCCATGGGGTCTGTGGTACTGAGTGGGCTGAAATCTTATAACTCTTATCCGGATCTATCCTCTCACAGTGCTGGTAGAAAACCAATGAAATCTACTTGAATGATTTGATTCATTAGAAGTAATTAATCAAATTTCCTCTGTGCTGCTCGGTGCGCCTGGCTCGGTGCAGCATGCATTGCAGCTGTTCTGCATTACAGAGCAGAGGAATCATGTGGAGGGCGAGCGGAAAGAGAGAGAGGAGGAGATGCAGGGGATGAAGGGGGGGATTCTCCAGGCTCTCATTTTCTGCACTTCTCTTCATTGCCTCGTCTTAAGTGAGGGTGGGAGGCAAAGATGGCGAGATACTCCACACTCTGACTCAAGGGACTCTGCAGATCGACCGTCCCACCGTCATCCTCCACCTCGCCTCATTCCATCCTGTGCTTGGAAAAAAAGGCTACTTGACATCGGATAATATTTGCATCGATTCGGAGGAAGGCTGGCGGATGACGGCAGCTGGAAGAGGAATATTGATCACATCATTTGGGGGAGGAGGGGGGGGATTCCATCACACTCTCTCCTTTCTCTGTGCCATCCTTGGAAACAATGGAAGAGGCTGGGAGGAGGCGCATCTGGTTTGACAGGGGGATGTAGAGGCTCCCACCACAGCCCTCCTCCAGAGTCGGCAGGCGAGGCGTTTTATTGCTGCGTCTCAGCGTCGGGGCTGCGGGGCTTCACTCAGCCTTGGGGATCCACTCAGAGAGGAGCATTCACTGCTTCTGCTGGGGAGCACCAGGGGCTCAGAACAGCTCAGCACCATGCCTGAGGCCAACTACCTGTTCTCTGTGTCCTGGGGATACATTAAGGTATCAGAACCTGTATGTGTGCGTTTGCGGAGCTACAGAGATGAATATTCGTTGTCGATTTTGCCGCATTTGAGATGCAGGTTTTGTCTGAATGTGTTTGGTCATGACGCTGCTGCTGGTTTGCATCTGTTTAGACGACTGCGGCAGGAACAAAGATGCATAAATATGAGTTGATTGCATGTTTCTCCATGCAGAGAGCTTGGAGATCCTTTTTTTTTTTAAAGATACCAAAAAGACTTAACCATAGACCTCGTTTGGTGCACAAAAGTAGAAGAATAACAAGATGCTTTAGTCTGTTCAAATCCAGCAGTTAAATAACTTCTTATTCTGTTTTGTTTATGTTTCTTCCAGTTCAAGAGGATGCTAAACAGGGAACTAAGCCACCTGTCAGAGATGAGCCGCTCAGGCAACCAAGTGTCAGAGTACATCTCCAACACCTTCCTAGGTAAGCAGTGCAGCCCACGCTCTCTGCAGCATCGCAAAACAACTGCTGCATCAGAGCTTTTTTCAGTTATAAGGGTACATAAAGCTTGGCGTTAGCTCCTGAAACATCCACCTTTGGTGTGGATTGCTGCTTTTAAACTAGTCTGATCTGGTCAGGAGGAGGAACGAGCCCCCCCAGCGCTCCTCGCTCTGACTGCAGAGACATGCAAAGGGAGGAGGGAGGGTGTTCTGCTCAGGGAAGGCTTCCCTCTAGAGAGATCAGGAGCAGCGAGACGAGGGGGAGTTAGGACAGATGCTATCAGCTGCATCCAGACGCTGCATTATTCAAATGGAGGACTCCAGTGTTTCCTGGTCTTAAAAAGCATTGCTGCATTTCATGACTCACAGCCTCCTATAGGTCACTGTTGGTTGTAAACAAGTTCATAAACTGAAAATAATCTGAGGGGAAAAGCAAAATTAACTGGAGGAGAAACAATTTTACAATCTGGAGAGAGATTAACATATTTTAGACGACCAGCTGTCGACCATCAGCTTAGTTTTTTGGTGCATTTTAAGGTTTACAGTCAAAGGAAACAATAGAGCTGTTTTTCTGGGAAGCTTAGCGGGTCTCTCTATCTGCATTGCATCAAACACCCGTCAGGTAGAGCTAAGATTGTCCTCCTGGGTTTTGTGGAGGATGTAATAAGACTTTCATTTTTTATTTTTGTTTTTTTTTTTTCGCCGAGGTGCGTATGATGATCAAAAAAGCAGTTTCACATGCGCACACACACACACGCAAACAGCACGAAGCTGTCACCCAGCAGACAGAAACACTGAATCACACACGCTGACTTTCGCTCCCGCATATTTACATGTCTCATTTCTGAACATTTCAGCTCAGGATCAGCCCTTTTTCCACTTTTCTCTGAATTGTTTGTTGCATCCGGGTTCAGTTTCGCAGAACGCACGCACCGCTGGAATATTGTGGCACAACAGCTCATTAGAAAGTGACAGGGATTTTTATTTAATCGAGACACAGTTGGAGGGAAGTGTCTTTAGGGGGTGCTTGATTGTTTTCCTGCTTTTATTTTTTTTTTTACTGCAGTCAGTGAGTTTATTTTTAGTAGAGACAGAACATGAGGGATTGTTTTAATTAAGCAACTGTCTCTACTGCTTCAGCCTTGCCACTTGGGTGTTAGAGGTCACCTAGCAGCTAGGAGGCTTGTGCAAAAAGCCTCTCAGCTAAACTGCTAAGCCCCTTTTTTATTAATTTTTTTCTTTTTAATAATCTTTTCTGACTCTTATTGTGTTTCCTACAGATAGGCAGAATGAGTTGGAGCTTCCCTGTCCGGTTCAGAAGGTGAGGGAGAGGAAGAGGAAGCAGGGCCAGCAGCAGCAACAGCAGGTTGGGATGATGACACAGATCAGTGGGGTGAAGAAGGTCAACCATACGTCCAGCATATCGGGGAATAGCGGAAACCGCTTCGGGGTGAAGACGGACCAGGAGGAGCTTCTCTCAAAAGTTAGTGATGCACACTTGGTTTCTTCAAAATAGCATGAAATTCATTTTAAAAAAAGATGGTGCTTAACGTTTGAAATTCTGGCTTATTTATTAATAGGACCTGGAGGACATTAACAGATGGGGGCTGAATATCTTCAAAGTGGCTGAGCATTCTCACAACCGACCGCTCACCTGCGTCATGTACAGAATCTTTCAGGTACTTTCTAAACTTTTTTTATTTATTTATTTTTATTTTTTGAATATCAATGCCTGTAAAGTTTATTTTCCTAACGATGCGTATCTTTGCCACTCCCAAGGAGCGAGACCTGATGCGTACGTTCAAGATTCCAACCGACACCTTCGTGACCTTCATGCTGACCCTGGAGGACCACTACCACTCGGACGTGGCCTACCACAACAGCCTGCACGCCGCCGACGTAGCGCAGTCCACGCACATCCTCCTGTCCACGCCCGCTCTGGATGTAAGTGGCTGAAATCTAAAGCCTTCCGTGGAATTGCAGTTTATTCATTCATTGGAGTCATGTGGTTTAGCTAATGACTCCATCACCAACGCCCCTTTCTAAAGCTGTTTCGGTTTAATGTGGCGACTTGTGTGACGTCAGCGCCCGGCGAATGCCTCAGAGGCTGACAAATGAAAGGATCGTGCTCCAATTGTCTGTTGGTTTAACTTGTTTGGCCGGTTCATTGACAGCCAAGGCTCATTTTCCTCCTTTTTTTCTCTCTCTCTCGCATTCAGGCTGTCTTTAAAGACCTGGAGATCTTGGCAGTCATCTTCGCTGCAGCCATTCATGATGTGGACCACCCAGGAGTCACCAACCAGTTTCTCATCAACACCAGTAAGTCTTAAAACCCTTAAAACTTATGATTTAGCTCACATGTCCAAAGACAACATGTAAAGTCAAAGCTTTATTTAATTTCTTCCTCCCTCCCACCCCTCTCCTCTCTACTCAGACTCTGAGCTGGCTCTGATGTACAACGATGAGTCAGTGCTGGAGAATCACCACCTGGCTGTGGGCTTCAAACTTCTGCAGGAAGACAACTGCGACATCTTCCAAAACCTAACCAAGAAGCAGAGGCAGACGCTCCGAAGGATGGTCATAGACATTGTGAGGACGCATAACAATTAGAAAGTTAACAGCCAGACCAGCATGTTTTATTTAACCAGTCAGATTCTGCTCACCACTTCTAAATGCAGCAAAGAGTTCTTACATTTTCCTTCCACGTTTTTTAAGGTTCTGGCCACCGATATGTCAAAACACATGAATCTCTTGGCGAATTTGAAAACCATGGTGGAAACCAAGAAGGTGACCAGCTCTGGTGTCCTGCTGCTGGATAATTACACTGATAGGATGCAGGTAAGGAGCTCATTCATACTCATTCGTCTTTTAAAATAAAACACCACCAGAAAAAGGCTAAGATCCGTCCTGTCTGCAGGTGCTGTGCAACATGGTTCACTGTGCTGACCTGAGCAACCCCACCAAGCCTCTGGATCTGTACCGGCAGTGGACTGACAGGATCATGGAGGAGTTCTTCCACCAAGGAGACAGGGAGCGGGAGAAGGGGATGGAGATCAGCCCCATGTGTGACAAGCACACAGCTTCAGTGGAGAGAACTCAGGTAGAGATGGCCCAGATAAAAAGGTTTGATGAGAATATTTCTGTCCTTTTACTGACGGCAGCCCTGCTCATCTGTTCCAGGTCGGCTTCATAGACTTTATCGTCCACCCTCTGTGGGAGACGTGGGCCGATCTGGTCCATCCTGACGCCCAGGACATCCTGGACACGCTGGAGGACAACAGAAACTGGTACCAAAGCATGATCCCCCAGAGCCCCTCTCCTCCTTTCTACACCAGCGACGGAGAAGGAGGCCAACATGGGGACGGTGAAGGGGGTTCTGAAGCGAGTAAATTCCCCTTCGATTTGGCCATGGACAGCCAGGAGAGACACACAGAGGACACGCCTGCTACAAGCGACCGCCTGAACAGAGACGATCCGGTTGAACTTAAAGGAGTAGAAATGACAACTCGTGACATCTCTCCTGCAGAAACATAGCCGAACCGAGAGACTGTCCCGGAAAAGGGACGCTTTTTACGCTGAGTTTGTTTAATTGCAGTGGAGGCATCCTGCAATGAGGCTTTTTAGGGAGCTGTCTGGCAAAGAAAGCCTGTGTGAACGCTGGGCGCCCCTGCAAACGAGGCTCAGAAACCCTGCTGCAGCATGTTTATGCGCCCCAGCAGAAGGAGCTGAAAGTGTTTGTTTAAAGCAGAGAGTGCCGAGGCACGGCTGGATCGGGGTTTTTAACGGACCGACCGTCCGGATCCAATGGTATGAATCTACGAACTGGGTTTAAAGGAAAAAACTTCCAAACTTGCACTTCAGGACATTTTTTTTATCTTCATGTAGAATATTTACAAAGTTTCAGGACCTAATAACACAACCAAACCTACTGGTCTATCGTCGGTTTTTTTCTTAACACTTGTTTAAAAAAAAGTAAAAAAAAGTGCCTTTTTTTGTTTTATTCTACAATTGTCTCTTTTTGTAAAAGTTTTTTTTTATTATTTATTGAACACATTCGTGTAGCTGTAAAACATGTCCACTTTTCTACGAGAGGACATCATTGTCTCTTAGTCTTCCTAATGTTCTGGCAATAGTCTAAACTTTTTCTCACAGGTGGATGAATGTGGAAAATCTGTTGACTTCCTGGCACAATTTTGCACTTTGCGTACAAGTGAAGCCAAATAATGTCATTCAAGCAACCCAAATATATATATTTTACCTCTAATTCATCATGTCAGCCAGGTTCTAACCTTTAGAGATAGAGGGAAATGGGAGAATACATCCAAAGATCCTCCAACAAACAAAAGAGCACTTTGATGCGTTCACTGCCACATTTTATTAGAGGAAAACATAAAATTCAACCTCAGATCACTCTTTGAATTCAACAACTCCAACCTATTGCTCTAAGGCATACTCCATTCCCCTCAATCCACTTTCCATTGTGAGTCATTGAAAACTTTTAGATGACTGAGAGGCTGTGCACAGCTGAAAGGAACAAAACATTTGTAAAATTTGTATTGTTTTTTTTTTTGTCGTTTTTTTTTTCACCGCAGCACCTTGAAAATGCCAGCAGCTCTGCAGCTGGTTGCAGAGCTGCTAGAAACTTCCTAAAAGGTACCACGACGTATGATGAGGGGAGATCCGTTTGTAGTCATAACATGACATTCTTCTGTGAATTTGTGCACATGTGGAGCGTGTAACTTCAATGGTCACAGAACCGCACAAACATTGTCGCACGGAGCTGTGTAGTGCCGACACTAACGGCGTATTTATTACCTTTCCCTTGTATATAATTAATAACGGTTGCTAATATTTACATATATTTATAAGCACTACAATACGTCAGATGACAATTTGACTGAATATGTCTGTATTTAGTGAGATATTTTGCTATTAGACCTCCTCTTGAAGTCCTGAAAAGTGCGTTTGCTTTGAGGCTCCAGCCTGAAACGGTCGTTGGTTCCTGACAGCAGCTTTTTCGGGGTCTTCGTTTCTGGGTATGGATATGAAGGCTGGACGTTTACAGCGGCTTATTGTGTACGGTGACGGGTCATTGTACAGCTGGAGGAATCTTTGCTGAAATGTTTAGCATTGTTTTAAAATGTATTTTTTCAGTGTTTTCCTCACAGTATATTGGTAAAAAAAAAAACAACAACAATGGTGTATGTTGTGCTGAACAAATGTTTTCTATGTGATTATTAAAATGAGCATGTGAAACAGAATATTCTGGTCTGGATGTGATTTTCTCTTTGATAAATTTGAAACAGGAAGTTAAATACCCAAACACACGTATGGGTAAAAAGTTCTCCAGGATTTAAATGTTTTCTTCTATGGATAATTTGATCTCTGATGAATATCAACTTAAAGATTTTGTGACTTTAACTAGAAACTGGATTTACATTTGGAAGCAAGTTGGTTTTTTCCATGACCTAAAACGTTACATTTCTTAGATCTGTTTACTTAGATTGTACAGACATCTAAACTAGATCAGTGTTTCATGTTCTGTGGGAGCATTTTTGCTCAGAACAACTGGTTCTCTGCAAATGAAGAATTGGGAATATGCCAAATTAATCAGACAGAGCTGGATAAAGGGTTCATTTGGTGGTGTATAAACCTCAATAATTGGATTAGCTTTTATTTTAATAGTCTCACAGATTTATTTTTTTATATATTCCCTATGTCACAGACTTTTGGGACTTTTTAGGTGCTCTAAGAGAAGGAAATTGTTGTTTTAAGGATTTAAAAAAACCGGGAACGCCACAGATGGAATATTACTGATGACATGTTTCGGTGCACCACTGTGGAAAAATCTGGTGGCTTTTTCAGGCTGTGAAGATTCATGAAATATTTTCTGAAACACCTTTTGTTTCCCAAATCTCTTCAAAGCAACTCGTAAACAGTCAGGCATCTACGATCTACCAACGACGTCACTAAGTCCAGGTCAGCCGCTACGCTGACGACGTGTGGATTCATCAAACTCTCTGTGATCAGGTCTCTCTGGCAGATTCTCTAAGATTTGTCTTTTTTTTTAGTTCACCCGATTTATTCATAAATCATTTATAAATTTTATATGTAAATTTTTGTAGTTCGTTTTTTTTTTATCTCTGCATTTTCCACTTAGGAGTTTTCTAGCCAATTATTTTATATATTTTCTTTTATTTGATATTATAAAGTTTTTTTGTTTTTGACTACTTTGACATTTGATTCGTTGTTTATAAAATGCGTGTAACTATTATTTAACATTTAAAGCTCAAAAGGATCATTCTTTACCACCTGCTTTTAATGGTCACAC